CAGCAACCGTCCATCCATGGTCAAGGATGGTGGACGGCTGGACGCGCTACTCCTAAGAGACGCGATAGAATACAACCCACGAGGTAGATACGGACGGGTCTCCCATAGGATACTCAAAGGCTTCTTAATTCTCTGAAATCGATCAAAGATCTAGACTTTGCAAATACATATAATTAAGCGTATCTAGTACTGTCTGAAGACGTCACCAGGAATGTCAATACTAGCACTTAGGCATTCTTTACACGGATACTCCTATAAAAATCCTTTAAATTTGCGTTCAAGATATCAAACTATGCCATCTTCCCGTTCACAAAATTACCTAATTTCTATGTCCACAACCTAAGCGCTTATCAAATAGAGAGGTGAGCTCTTGATCAAACCACGATCTCAATTAATTGCAACCTAGTGGAATAACCAGTTCTACAACTTCCTTCCCCTTTACTACCACCATACACGTCCCAAAGACATGAAATCTCTGAATAAGTTTCTAGAGTCTAGACTTCCAAACAGAAAAAAAAAAAGCTACTCCGTCGCAAATTGAAACACGAGCCGCCACCTCATACCCTCCACAACACAAAATTTCCTGTTGCAGTTTGGAACCTACATCATGCAGCCCACTTAGCTTCAAGACTCTAGCCTCGATCGAGGATCTGAAGCACTCCAGCCACCAACCCCCCTTGCAATTGCATCCGGAATCCTCACCAAAAGAAAAAAGTTCAGCATAAAGACTCCGCCTCAACGAGGAATCCAGTACGGCTTCGACTTTCCTACATAAATAAATCAGTAGCATTAGAATCCTACTAACAAGGAAACGGGACCAAAAAAACCGTTGGGGATAATATAGATATATTAAATGCATGTATATATTCAAACAAAGGTATATGTGCGGCATATGCGAAGATGCATACTGAATATTATTGCATATCTTATAACTCTTCTGCATTTTGCATTACCGAACCCGCCACGAGGGCCACGAAACCGAGGGAGGGTTTCGTGCTCATAAACTGTATAAAACACTAATAGCATACTGAATCAGTTAGTTCATCGTTCACTGTGGCGAGTTTTAAAGATCTCCGACATTTGCAACAGTAGCCAGTTTGATCTAACGCCGCAAGTTACACAACGCCTCGAAGTGAATTCTGGATTTAACTCAACTTAGAATAATCCAGCTTAGAAAAAAAAGTTTACTAGTGGAGGAATTCTATATAATCATCTAACCACTTTAGAAAAACCACTTTGGAAAATAAGTCAATACAATAATATCTCCGAGGGAATGGACCGATCCGACGAGGAAGACAGACATATCCTAGCTCTAAACCTTAAAAGAAGATAATCCGATGGTCCGTGGGCCCCCCCCCCCCAACAAGCATAACTTCATCACACTGCAAAACTTCTACACAGCGTGTACATACCAACCATGCATCTATTTCCGGCATCTCTGCATTATTATAACAACTTGATACTCTAAACCGTCTACGGACTACAAAAGCAAAGTGCTGGTAGCACAACCAGCAACATCCCTGTTCCAGTCGTCCCAGGAGCCCACTTTCATGCACACGGAATACAAAATCTGCTTAGTATTCATGTGCATATCCATATCCCCCCAGCGGGAACCGGAGACCGAAGTGGAAGATAGCCCTCGTGATAATCGATAGCATGATAGGCGTAAGAGGTCACCAACTAGTGCATTAATTAACACACAATTAAAACCCTCTCAAACGAACCCCACCGGGATATTTTTACCCAATAAAGCTGTTGAATAACATAAATATATTATCGGTGACCAGAACTAGCTAATTAATTAGCTAAAAACCAAGTTTGATAAAGAGATCCTCTAAATTAGAAAGCCACTGTAATCTAGGGGAACATAAAATAAAGGTAACGAGCGCCGCGGAGACGGGTATCATAGACGTCTTTGTTTCATTTAGTCGCTTGCCATCATGTACGGGCACGATAAGGGTACCGGCGGAGCTTATTTTCGCGTATTCCTTGGTGGGATAAAAGGATACTCTAGCAATCTGGGAATAGGGTCGATCGTAATCGTATGATCATGGCCGGATCGGGCATTTGAGTGGGGCAATTCTTCGATTCGGATGTCCGCCTTACATAAGGCTCGAATTGCGAAAGTGGGTACGGGGTATCAATCTAGGCTCTAAGGAATCTGGAGACGGAGATATAAGATCCAAAATCGATTATAGTTGCCGTAGTTCGCATGTCTATTTTGGAACGAAATTGGGGGGAACTTTCATGGTTTAGTGAAGTTAGTGTGCAGTGGCGTTGATAGTCAAAGTAAACGTCGATTCAAGGAGCTCTTGTGTGCATATCAAGCGAATGTGGCCCCGGTGAGGCTCTTTGGGTCTAGACTCCATCTTTTTAAGTTCTCCCACGAGATCATATCATGTTCGAATGATAGTATATAGAGCTCTTCACTTTATTAGAAATTCGACATTTCCAAGCTAACTTTATATATCCTCGGTTTCATTTAAACTTGACGATTACAATTACAGCTAAAGCAGGTTTGTGGACGAATATAGTTTATTATTAGATATATTTAGCTACGGTAGAATGGAACCCTGGCAATAGGCGCAATTATTTTGATACGTTAATATTCGTTGCCTTTTTAGGTAACTCTTGACGTCTAGCTAGAGCACAATATATTGATATCGGGATATATTTGTGAGTTCGGTCAACCGAGCTTGCTCGTAGTATTTCGCCGCTGGTATCACCAGAACTATACGACTACATGCATCCATCTATGAATATTTAAGCCAAACGAGACCTAATATGTATATAATCCGTATGGGAAAGAAAACTAGCAGCGCTGCAGCCCGATCGATATCCCCAAACACATACCAATGAAACCAAATGGTTTAGTATTAACCCGTCATGTATATATGTGCTCATTGGTAAAAAAAACCCTGCTGTACGTATGTATGTATACAGCAGTTTCGTTCGAGAATTCCCGGATATCACAAGGGGAGCAGTCACTTTCTTTGTCATTTCTGAGAGGTTTGTTACGTATACTATTGAGGAGCTAGAATATATACATGTAAACATCTGGATTATGCATGATATATCTCACACTATACCTCGATATAATAGACGCAGCTCCCGAATAACCAATATTATCTACAATTAATATATTCAACGGTGTGGCCTGAAATATCTTTGTGAGGCTGTTCCTTCTGTATATGCTATATAGCTTGGTATATGATTAAGCACTGGAATATCATGGCCTATAAAAAGACCTGCTATCTCAACATAACCTCTACCAGGTAGGAAATCTTTTCTTCTTCTTAAAATTAACAAAAGAATAAATGATTTTATACACAGAACTAAGCCCTCTCCCCCATTGTTATATGTCCCCAGTCTCGAATCCAGTCGCTCTTGAGGTTAATATTTCCTGAATATTATTCTGATATATACACTACATATAACTACTATCGCAGTGTGTACGATTAATATATCATATCGGCCATGTTATTTTCAAGCCAATTAGTAGGAAGATCCTTGGCAATTTTAAAAGCGCAACGGTATCGTCCTAATATCAGTAGGATGGAATGTTCGAGTGATATACATGCTTACTCACATATACATCAGTTTGAGGACAATCCTCAACCCCTTGATATAATATAATCAACACCGTCTCCGTAATCTCTCTGTATACTTCTATATTTATTTACATATAATGTGATATTGCAATACATCAGCTTTATATATATGTCTTAGCCAAATAAGTCATGAATTAATCTTGATAACTTCTGAACCAAGTACAAATACACATATATACTCGACCTTTCCTAGCCTTTCGCTCTTAAACTAAAAAGAAAAATATCATCGAGAAAGAACCCCTTTATTCCGAAAGCACACCATTTTTTTCAACAATATTAATAAGCCGAACGACCCCTAACTGCCGCTCTCTCGTATAATCCCGTGAGATCTCTACCGCCTACATGCTACACTGCATTAAAACCTAACCTCGGAACTGGAACAACCCGGTCAAGCATCGAACCTTCCAGCACCCTCAACACCAAAAATACAACAATTCTCTATCACCAAAACCTTCCATCCGTGAAGGATCCGACAAGAGGGCAAAAAGAAGAAAAAAGGGCATAAGCATCATATCAAGAATGACGTACTACAAACTCCCTAATCAAACATACCCCACCTTATACCAAACCCTCTTGAGGAATAAAGTAAAACAAAATAAAAATAAAAAATATAAAAAAAAATTAAATGAGCAGGCTTGGATTCGAACCAAGATTCCCTTCATGGAAGAAAAGAAGGTGTGTTATTCTTTTACAGCCTTCAGTATACTTTTTTTACTTTCTACAGCCTATGGATTTAACAGGGAAAGGCCCGCTTCCCGATGTACCTCATTCTCTCTCTTTTTGGGGGAAAGAAGTGGTACAAAGGTAGTTCGAAAACCCCTGCGAAGGCAAAGTGTCCATTACACTACGAGCTCTATTAGAAGGTGATGGGGTATGAAGGCGTGGATGACGCTTATATTTCAATTGTGGTTTGATCGTGGTGTTAACGATTATAGATACCTATCCGGCTAGCTTGATGTTATGCCTGAAGTATTTCCACCGGTTTCGACGGGATTTTCTATAGATCATATTGCTTCGACTTGAATCCGAATACTCTAGTTCTCGTAATTAATAATCTTTGGATGCAAATGCCAATCTAATTTTTTCATAAAAAAATTCAAACCAAGAATGCTACAAGCTATGCTTGAATACGAATTGATGCACCCACCACCGCCCTGTGATTAAAATATATACTTCTTTCTCTCTTTCTCCAAAAAGTGCCGACTTACAAAAAAAACGCCAGTATCCTTTAAACTTCCCTCTATATCCCAATTCATGCTCACATTCGCCATTCGATGATATTTCTATACTATACTATACACCTTCCCTCGTTCATAAGTATGTACCCGCCCACCCCCATCACCGCATATCAATCTTCCCCCAAAATAGATTCTACACAATCGAGGGGCTTTAATGCACAAACGCCCCGGTCGCCGTCATGACCTTCCTCTTCCCCGCATTCTCCCTTCGGTGTATGAAGATATCCCACAAAGCAGTGATCATAACCGCGACGCTTGCGAACGCAGTCAACGCATATGCAGATCGGTAACACCCAATCCCCTCCAAACACTCGTATCGCCCTTCTTCCATATGTTGTGAATGTCCATCATAAATCTTACCGAAAAATAGATTTGTGATGTTACCGAAGATTACGGGTCCGAGGGTCATGGTGCCCCAATTTTGCGAGAGCCCATGGAGACCGAAGGCTTCTGAGACGATGGTGGGGAAGACACCGAATACGAGGCCGTAGCCGACTATTAAGGTTGTAAGCGCACGAGTTCCTATTGTATATTAAGAAAAAAGGGCAAAAACCTACATCCGTTTAGCCCGGAAACGAGCCATAGACTATGAGGATTGCTGACCCCCATTCCAGCAAATTGTCCGAGTAGGAAGACGCTGCTAGAGGCGAATACCAGCCAGACGCGAGAGTACCCGAATTTCTTCTTGAGGACATCGGATACGGTTCCTGTAGTACCTAACATGAGCACATCTGGGGGGGTTATTTTTGTGCTTGGTAACACTCACCGCTTATTAACCGGCCGGAGAAGCTACAGAGCGAGAGAATCGAGACGTGAACACCCTGGACGCGCTCAACTTCCTTGGAGTCCTTCTTCGGGTCGAAGGCGTACCACAATGCTTTGACCTAATCATGCTACCATTAGTATATATGTATCATTCGTCTAGGGCAAAAACAACCCGCTTACCGAATGCCCAATATTACTATTATGAAATATATTAGCTATATTCTCAAATATATGTTATGGAATATAAATAAACTTACTTTATGGTCATCAACCCAACACCTGTCAAAACCCCCAACATCAAGAAAAGTCTCCAAAACTCCGGCTGCCGCGCTAATGCCCAACCTCGAATATCTAGATGTTGCAGACCATCAACGGACGCTCTCCTCGAATCGACTGGTGGCTCATTAAGGTTTCTTCGAACAACGTTGTCCTTGGTGCCGTACGATGATGAATCAGACGACGACGACAGGAATGACGTCCGTTCGTCGTCGATAGGTGCCGGTGTCGTGGAAGCCGCGGGGGTTGCGGCTCCCGGTGTAATGGGACTGGATGGGTTGGGGGTAGGGGTTGCAGCAGTTATTGTCAGGGTAGGGTTTAAGTGTGGCGGTGTGGGGGAAATGCTTCCACTGCGTATACCCTCCTCTTCCGTCCCGTCGTCCACAGGCACTTGAAAGTGGACGTTGGAGGCTTCCATACCTGGCTCAATATCGAAACTAGTGTGACTATCTCGCGACTTGGTGCGACGTAGTCGATTGGTTGAAATCTCTGGCTCAGTAGTTGCGACGGCGGAGTATGCGCCTGGCCTAGGCACTACTCGTATAAAGAAGAAAGCAGCGAATACAATTGAAGCCGTAGCAGTGGAGAGAACAAGAAGGAAGTCGGAGGTGTTTCCAGGGAATAGCCATGATGCCAATGTCGAGAAGAAGAAGGCGCTCAGACCGAAGGCTGCCAGTGGTAGTGCTGTCGCCGTGCCCCTCTTTAACACATATATTAGTACCTATATACGACGGTATGATATCTTGAAAAAAAAAAATCCCTTACACTCTTGGGGAAGTTCAATGCAGCTAGAAACCCTATGTTAGCATCCGATTCTCTATAGCTCTCAATTGTGATTATCAAACATAATCCATACCAACTTTGATGGAGGCGCTAAAGGCGAAGCAGCTTCCAATACCGGTGAGCGTGGAGAATATCGCCAACCATCCAACACCAATATTCACAGAAGCATCAAAAACTACCAAACGACAAATGCCACATATTAGCCCACACTATTCTCTAGAACCATAAGATTTCAAAAAAGGACACCAATCGTTTACAAACCTCTGTAAATCGGATAATACCCAGCAAACAACGAAAAAGCACCAATCAATATCGCTAGCCGTGGACCCTTTCGATCAACCAGCATACCGGCAGGGATACCAGACAGATACATTCCAAAGTTCCCAGCCGTGCCCTAGAAGTTTCGCCACCAGGAACGTTAGCCTTCCCTTGCTTTCGACCATTGCCAGAATTTCTCAAATTTCTCCGAACCGCCGGTTCATAGGTATAGATTTTGAACGTACAATGATGTTGCTTTCCGTTGTCGACAAGTGTAATTCCCTAGCAAGCTGTGGTGCGTAGGCCGAGTAAACATAGTTGGTACCGCATGCTAATGCCACGGCGGTACAAGCCGCTAAAGCAACGTAGCGGGCCGCCTTGAAGCTCATGGGTGCTGTCGACGACATGGTCGCTGGTGTCCCTTCTCAAGGACTTGAAAACTCGTAAGACACCGTTATAACCCAGAAAAAAAACTGGGACGGTAAATCTGGAATTGAAGTCGGTGAAAGGGTAGCGGCGAGCAAACGAAGAAGAGGAAGGTAGAATAGGGGACCGGTGGGATGGGAGCGTTTTACGACCACGACCACGTTACATTGAGAATTGCGGGGGAGATGAACAGAACTAGAGGACCCTGTATATGTCTTAGTAGCAGAGGACTAAAAGGCAAAAAAATACAAAATATAAAATATAAAATATAAAATATAAAATATAAAATAAAGATAAAAAGAGGCAGCTGATAGCTCGACTTTGGTAGCTTCGAAGACTTGTCGAAAAGTGTGTCTGTGGGAAGTGTGGATGAGATCACAGGGCGTTAATTATTAGAGGAAATGATGGGACCTGCAGGCGAAATAGTACAGCTGACAACGACCCCTGCCGGTTCGGAGCTAGACCTAGCCAAGCCAACTAGGTATGCTGGGGTCAAGTGCTTCGGATAGTTAACTTGCTGGTGACTTCGGAAAGACTCCAAGATAGCTCTAACTCACGATGGTCGGGTTTTAACAGAACGGTGGTTGTTAAGAGTTAGAATAGGAGGCTATTTGTGATTCGGACTGACTAATATACTGAGCCGGGAAGCCAGTGCCGCGCTGGGTCGCGGACACCCGCGGCTTTCTGCAACACCACGTTTGTAATTGACATGCATGATGAAATTTTGATGTCAACCTGCTTACCGTACTCCTGTCGTGCTACAGATATAATAGATAGCGTCTAGACTAGCTACAAATTATCTAGATATCTTATCTACAAGTACTGTTGAAGTACTTATTTGCTTAATACGCAAGGTACCTAGGTAGTTATTATGTTTGATGCTGGCTGTACGGGTAGATACTTATGTTAATAGTTTTCGTCGGCTTTGGCTATCTCTATAGCTCTACGGCTTCTACGAAATTACACTATCAGATATATTCTTTTAATTCCATATGTTATTCCATGATCAATTCACATGACATGAACCATCGATGAAAGAAACATTATTAATTCGCCTTCCTGGAACAACATGGGTAAAAAAAAAAGAGCTGTCCCCCAATCCGTTGTATAATGCTGCTGCTGATGCACAGAGACAAGGAAAGAAGAAGAATAAGTGTGTATCATAGACTGTACATAACACCGTTGGAATGTGTAGGAGGTAGTAATAAAAAAAATTATCATATCAGCATAGCAGTACAAGGAAAAGAAAAAGAATGGCATCCCCGCCTTCCTTCGCGTGCAACCACTACTTGATCTTCTTCTTTGGTCTGAGCTGGTTTGTGTGACCGCACTTCTTCTTTCTGCAGTTGGTGGCACGTGGCGGTAGTCGGGCCTATAGGGTTTAAATAATCTGTTAGTTTCATGGAGCTTCCGGGACTTCATTGCCCTTTTAAGAGGGGTGATAATTGAGAAGAACGTACGTAGCACTTGCGGCAGATCATCTTCTCGCAGTTGAACTTGGAAGCGAGGGCCTTGAGAGATGGTTCAATGATACCACCACGAAGACGGAGGACAAGGTGAAGGGTGGATTCCTTCTGGATGTTGTAGTCGGATAGAGTACGTCCTGCACATTCAAATCAGCCACTCAATTCCTAACCTCCACACGAACACTGTCCCTTCAGAACCTCCGTCCTTCAATAGTTTGCTTCGTCGGAGTAGAGGTCCCTGGGAAGTGTGTTTGGCTCCTTTTTTTAGAAAGTGAATTTATAGCGTACCATCCTCGAGCTGCTTTCCGGCAAAGATCAATCGCTGTTGATCTGGTGGGATTCCCTCCTTATCCTGGATCTTGGCCTTAACGTTGTCGATGGTATCCGACGATTCCACCTCGAGGGTGATCGTCTTGCCCGTGAGGGTCTTGACGAAGCTGTATTATCGAAAAAGAGCCGATTATTAGCCCATATGTTCTATCCATCCCGTTGCTTAATATTCCCCTTAACAGTGTCGGTTCCATTCGTCCAGTCGACATCCTCCCTTCCATCCCATGGTCGGCAATTCTCCACAAAATCCATCGAAAAATCCGGAGCTGAGGGGGAAACAGGTATCGAGAAAACTTACATTTGCACTACACGCCATAAATGAGTCAGTAAGATATTGATTTAAACATATATATCAAGTACGTGCAGGGCTCTACTTACTTGTGGCGGTGTTTGGGGATGTTGTCGTTGATGATTGATGTCGATGAGAAAAGCTTCTACCGCACAAACGCTAATTGGGTGTCTCTGGCTTGTTCAAACAACGAAAAAGGGCAAACCGTGCCCAAGCCCTACTGTCTTGGCGCTCAGACGACACGAACGACAAACACAACACCACAACTCATTTTTCACAGGTACTCGGATCTGGCCTGGTATTAAGGGTACCTATCTATGCCTGCATCTGGACTGCTAAGCTAAGCTGTATGCAATGGTCCGGCGGATTCGAAATGGTCTCATGATTTATTCTTGGTGACGACCTACAATTCTCTTGGCCTCAGGATTGGAACCTCTGCCGTGATTATTGGATGGTATTCTCTATTGTCTCGCGTTGGAGCTAGACAGCCTATAGACTCCTAGTCCAATTGGGCCCTTCAATCTAGTACAGTACCTAAGCTAAAATTACATTGTAGATATAAAGAATAGAATACTTAAATTGATAGATAGCCTCTTATCTAGATCTGCGGGTGTTACTTCGTCTCGTATTGAAGAATGCTGGGGAAGAGACATAAAGAATAAGATTAGTATATCTGATATCTATAAAGCTAAGCATCACTCAAGCAACAGCTCTAAATCCTCATCTTCACTCTCCTCCTCCTCCTCTAACACCCCCCTCAAGTCCCCTAACAGGTCCCCTCCAGGATTCATATCTTCTTCATCATCCTCCCCTTCCTCATCGCTAACTTCCCTCTTGGGCTCCTTCCCTTTACTAACCTGTCCCAATCTATGTTCCAATTTCTGCACTACATACACAAACCCTTCAATCCCCACACCCACCCTTTCAGCTGCCGCCAAATACAAACTCCTAAGTTTGACAGACTTAATATCTTCCCACTTTTTATATCTCATGTATTTCTCACCGGGTCTTAGAATTCTTCCTCTTTTTCTGCCTGCGGGGATGACTTTGCCGAATTTGATGTTGGATTGGGACTTGATGAACGCCCGGAGTTTTTTGTGAAGAGGGGTATTTCTTTCATCGTCTTCTTCTTGATCGTCTTCTTCGCTTTGCCCTTCTCCTTCTACTTCTCCTTCTTTTCCTTCAGGATTGGTACCTTCACCTGATGCTCCTTCAAACAACCTTATCACCCCAGCCGTCGGCTTCCCCTCAATCTCACCAGCCCAATTCTTCTCAAACCACCCAAGATATTCATCCATCTCCTCCCCACTCCACCCATAGATATCTGCCTCCTCAACCCTCAACTGCCAATTCCTCTCTTTCTCCTTTTTCTCCTTCTTCCTTTCCTCCATCTCAAAGATACCCTTCCACTCTTCCCAATCAACCCCCATATTGGCAATTTCCCACTCTTTGCTAGCAAACCGCGGTAAAACCCTTCCTTTCTTATCGGTCTTCATGTACCTCAGAACCCCCGGGTCATCGTCATCCAAACCCCAACATAACTTTAAAGAAATAACGAGTAGGGCCATAAGTTGAATATCCGGGCAGTTTAGTAGTCTGTAATTCTTTGCTGCGGCGGGGTATACTAAAGACGATTGTATCATTTCCGCCAATATAAATATCGCTGGGTAGATCTCGGCTGTATATATCAATAATATTAGCATCACCATCGTCATGTCCACTCATAGCTACCCAACAGAGGAGAGAGAAAAAGAAAGCAAAGGATAAAATACTCACGAGGACACCCAAACCCCAAAATCCACCCCCCCACTAACCTCTCCGCCGCAATTCTAGGAACAACAACCCCAAACCGTTCAAAATAATACCTAACCCCCAAAAATATCCCCTTCCTAACCCCCTCCGCCGTGGGCATAACCTTCGGCTCAAACTTTCTTTTCCATTTAACCTCCATCTTCCCAACCATATCAACGGGTAACCATTTTATCGCCCTAAAGTATACAATATCCTGCTCTAGAATCCATCTATGCACCGTAGTAATCTCTAGTGGTAGATTGATGAGTGATGCTGCGATGTAGAGTATTGAAATCGTATCAAGGAGTTTCGGAATCGTTTCTTTGGGTTTTGAGAAGGCATTTCGGCCGCGGGAGGTAGACCGAGAGCGAGTGGTGGTTCTAGAATGCGGCCGGGAGAGAGGGGTGGTGGATCTTTGGGATGCAGTTTCGGGGTCTGATGGGTAGGCTTGGGAACCTGTCGAAGCTAATGATTCGGCGGCGGAGGTATACCCCGAACTAGCAGAGGGAGCTCGAGAAGAACGTTCAGAATAAATTGATTCTAGTCGTAGAGTCCATAGATCACGGACAATGAGCTTGAGTATAGAACTTCTATTAGCGATTTGTGAAACCTTTTGTATATTGATTACAGGTTGTATGTAAGATGTACCTGAAACTCCTTTGGAAACTTCTGTTCGTCGATAAGCCAAGCCACCTGTTTTCGGAGGATAAACTGGAAGGCTTGAAGGAATAGTGAAAGTCCCTTTTTTCCAGTAAAGACTATTATTATCAGCTTCATTAGCTGTCATTACATATAAGTAGTATCTAGTACAGTAAGAGATAGCCCGGCGGAACGTACCTTTCTCCTCTACAGCCTGCGAATCATCCCGTTCAATTACCAACCTATCACCCTTCCGAGGTTGATACTCCTCATCTTCACGAATATCAAGACGTCCCTATTCAATTCCATAGAGAAGCAAGATTAGTCGCTGTAAGGCTAGGCTAGGTCGCGCTGAATGAATCAAGGATGTACATACTTCCTGAACATGACCGTTACTACAGGTCCACTGCCCGTCGGCGAGATGGTAAAATCGTGATCGACAGTTATCGATACCGCATCTTTCACCCTTCTGCCGTTCCATGATGCGATGGAAATGTAAATTTTAGCTTCATTGCGGGGGTTTAAAGCTGTTTTTGCGGCGGATGAGAGCTCCACTGGCGGATTTTTTTCCGGCGGAATTGTGTATGTAGAGCTCTAGAGCTAAATGGAAAGTACCTGAGGTTGGATCGATATTTTATCAATTAGGTACCTAGGACAATCTAACCTAATTTTACAGCGCTACCTTCGGATCCAATTGATATATTCTACAAAAAAAGGGTTATTTCAACGCTTCATGTGTCACCGGGATTTACGATCTTTACGTGTAGAAAATGATGATGAGAGGGGAACCAAGGTATCCTTTCATGGATTTTCTTCTGAGAGGAAAAATACTAAAACTACAAGGAAACAGCAGGGAAACCACTTTTGAACACAGCTGTCTCTCTCCCTCTTTTTATTTTTCTCTCTCATTTGAACATCATTTCTTTGATTTTTCCCCGTTTCGAAAAAAAGTAACCGCAGGATACCATGTCATAATATATAGCCATAAGAGCGTAGGCGAGGAGCGTCGTTTTATCTTTTATCGTTTCCGACGAGATGTCGAGGGGTTTTTTTTTAAAAAAAGTTCTCGTTTCGACGTCCTGGTAGGAATTGAGGTGGGAGGAACTTGTCGAGAATGTCTTCCTAATCGTAACAGTATAAAAAAAGGAGGGGGAGACCACCGATACAAAAAGGGCAACCTGGTTTCTTATGTTGAAAGAATTGTTTTGTTCCCATCCCTTGAAAAAAAAAAAATTTGAAGATGGAAAAAAAAGGGTCCCAAAAGATGCGAAAATGAATCCAAAAAACAAAGGCCAAAAATCACGATAGTTGCGATTGGTCTTCATTATCTAGTTCTTTGGAGCATCCTTGTAGGCAAGGGCCTGTTCTTCTCCCATAGAAGAGACGATGGTGACAACTAGAGGCGATATTCATGTTAATTGGGTATTGGGGGTTAGGGGCATCTTGAAAGGTTACTGACTGAGGTCTCTTCCTTCGTCGAAAGCAGTTTGAATTTCCTTGCCCAAGTCACCCTCTGGAAGCTTGACATCGTCCTTGGGGTTACCGTCGCTGGTCATGAGGTTAAGGTAACCGTCATCAATGTCGATCTAGTACGAACATGACATGTTAGTCCCAGCCTGAACTATTCTTTCCTGTGAATATAGAAATACTTACGAGCTGGTATTCGTTACGGACGACGTGGGGAACATCCATGTTGTGCTAGAATTAGAAATATTAGCGACTGTTATACCAAAATAAATCATCAATATATGTCATAAGATAAACATACGGTGGATGGGGACAAATCTTCGAGCTTCTTTCCAGTGAAGATATCAATGGCGACCAAGTGGACCTTAGCGTGACCGTGCTTTCCAGTCTTGGAGGTGGACATGTCAACGATCTGAATGGGGTTAAATTTTCTATGTTAGTATATCCATAACTCTCCGTCTTGATGGTGGGGTCATATGTTTAGCGAACCTTGCATGGGCGACCCTTGATGACGACGTGACCGTTCTTCCTACGGAAATATTAATACTTCTGCTCGAGTTTTATAGTAACAGATGTAATGTGGTTTCGTACCTCAATGCGGAACATTGCATTGGGAAAGTGAGAGAGGCACCGGAGCCGGACTGCTCGAAAGTGTGTTGCTCATGTTGCTATAATTTTGATGACCACTGTTAGTCATGTCTGGTTTTTTAACAGTACGTAATACGAATTTTTGTTTTTTGTTTTAAAGATAAGGCTTGAAGTCATATAGAAGCGACCCGGGGGGTGGAGTCCGCGATGTGGATTTTCAGGCATCTCGTGAGGTGGGACACCGTGACTTAGAGTGCAGCGAAAGGCGGGGTAGTAACTTCACTCACCTCATCGTCTGCCATTTTGAAGGTTGAAGACGAAAAAAGATTCGTAGAAAGAGTAAATAATAAGAAGGATGAAGTGAAAATGGGAGAACTGTGAGCGGGAGTTGGACTTTCGAGAGAGGACCTGTGGCGGGAAGGAATATTTGGGGAAGAAGGTTTTGGGGGGGTTTGGAAGGGAATGTTGGGTTAAAAGGGTTTGAAAATTTTTGGTGGAGCACACTTTTTTTTTTTTTTTTCCTTGTTCTTTGCCCTTTTTTTCTGGACTCTGCTGGAGTTCGGCAGCCAAATTAAATTCTGGCCAACCACAACCTGGCTTTACAAGGACAGCTGAGCCTGTAAGCAGCTCTTCCTACTTTTCTTCTTCAAACTACCTAGCTATTAGTTAGCTTGCGGTGTTTCAGGCTAGGAACAATGTGATTCTTGGGTCATATTTTGTGTGTTTGACTGGTTTTCCACGATGGCGGGGTACTCCGAGGGGCTGCAATCACTTCGGATCCAGATCCTGCCAGTAGATTTACTTGCTTGGGTATCACTAACTAACGTTATAGTTGTTAGTGACGCCTGCCTGAGGCGTGCCTAGAATTCGGACTTCGAGGCACCGTAGCTATAGCTGGTAGCTACATGGTCGTAGCAGTGAAATGGTACCATGGTAGGCATTCATCATGATTATGTCTGATTGTTCTGGTCTTGTGACCATTGCAAAGCATATAATCATCATCGCGGTTTGAGTACCGTAACCATATTAGTTCTATTATAACCTGGGAATATAATATTGGAGAATACTAGTTGTAACCTTAGCTTATACATACGTTATAATCAAGTGCTTAGTACGTACTTAAGTATATATATACTAAGTACTTAAATACTATATTGTGTACTATAAATTCATAAAAAGGAACCACCGCCCAAGTAAGACAAAGTCGACTCTGCGAGACCCCAAGATAAGCCTTCACCTCGGTCGTAATTAGGTAATAGTCTGGAGTGCAGTGTTCTGATCTAGGAAGGCGCATAACATACTCAAGTAGATATTTAAGGTCAAAAATGATAAAATGTCAATATGTCCTGTATATTTATCATATCAGGGTATCAAGTAAATTGCATTCAGTCTATCTATACCTCTGTGCTACTCGTAAATCATGGAAGAAGACAAGGCTCTGAAGTTCAGCGTTATAACCCCCCCGTTCTACACATGACGAGACATATGACATAATATGGTGGTACAGAGCAACCGAAGTTGGCCACCAGATGGGAACCCGTAAGTATCTAGATCTAGGAACAATAGTACCGAGGGGGGAAAAGACCCATTCATCTAATTTACTTGGGTCTTTACTTCTTGATCCTTCTCCCAGGCAGAGACCTTCGGATGGTCTTGGAAAGTTGTAACGGCATCATCTGGGAATTCGGCACTGTTCGACACCAATTAGATAAATTTCCAAATAAACACTGTAAAGCATAAATGGTATTTATAGAAGATTCTGGTAGAGTTAACGTACGCAAAAGCATGAATGAGAGTGTAGTCATGGGTGATTTTAGCACCGGAGTCGATGACGTGCTGTTTGACTCTGCGGGGGAATGAGTTAGAAAACGTTGGCTTCGATTTAACAATTATATCCGGCCGTGACAAGTAATCGTCTTATATCTAGTAGCTGTATACTAGATATAGATGTCGATGTCGATGTTTGGCAGAAACAGAGCTAGAAGAAGACTTACTCTTCCTTGTTTTCGCCGTCCTTGACAGTGATCTAAATAAACCCCACCAGCTAGTTAGCATGGAACATACCCCACAATATCATCTATGCTGGCCTAATCTGGCATTGGGAAAACGTACGATGTAGGTTGTAGGCATTTTGATGTTCTTAGAATAGTATCTTAAACTATTAAACCGTGTAATTCGAAACAATTTTGAAGATGTAATTTGTAAATTCAGAGGGTCGATAAGATATATAGGCAGGTTGTAGTAAAGATATTAGATGATAAAGTTGAGAATGAATGAAGATGACGGAACTCCAGTGTCCCCTTTATACTTTCTCATTCCGACGCTGATCCAGATCACATCTACCCGGACTAATTACTAACGTCCTGGATGGCCTTGCTTGCTTGGTTAAGCTTGCTGCGGATGACGTACGGGAAAAAACCCCGCCAAATGATGGCACCACCAATGGAGGGGTAAGACGCCAGCCATGACTGGCAGAATTGAGGTTGGGCTCACATGTCTCTCGACGGGTTTGGATTAGGTTGAGTTGGGCATTACGGGCATTACAGGCTGGTCGACTGGCCTGGCTGGGTCCAGATCTGGCTGAGCTGAGCTGAGCTGAGCTTGATTCGTTCAGATTCGATTCACAACTGAGCTTGAACTCGAACTCGAACTCGAACTCGAACTCAAACACGACTCGCTTTGCATCGGGATGGGGACTCGACTTGTGTTGGCTGGTCGATCCTTGGCGCGGGATGTCTTGGCAATAAAGATATTGTCTTGGCACCACTGATCCTGGTCGCATTTTTTTCGCTGGGAGCCAAAAATTTTGAGATTTGGTTTTGAAGACCATAGCTAGTTTTTCTGCGACAGGCGACTGTACACAATACCCACGACCTCATCAATATCAACCGGTCGTCGCAATGGATCAGGCAAATACTCCCCATCGTGCTTCGAAGTCGAAGGGGAAGAAGAAGAGCAAACATACTGGTGGTACGATTTTATATCCTCAGTCATCCATTGATATTCGAGAAAACACACACCAGGCTTACACTTTCTCATAGGACCTAATCCCAAGGCGTTCGCGTTCGCAAACCCTGGAAAGCTTGCAAAGCAGGCGAAGAGAAGTCATGATGTACGATTTATACACTTCTTTAATGATGTTATTATGCTTTGTAGTATGAGCTCTAACGCTGGTGGTTGGTTGGATGGATAGATCAAAGAAAGGAAGCTTCACGTCCCTCTGGTGGACCGTCTTCCTGAGGAAGCACCGCCCATTGTCGTCGCCGTCGTCGGACCTCCTGGTGTATGTTATTAACCCACCTTGGGAGTTCTCTATCGACATCATATCTAACGGCATGAACTAGACTGGCAAAACTACACTCATCAAGTCCCTCGTTCGTCGCTATACAAAACACACCCTAACATCTATCGCCGGCCCTATCACCGTCGTAACCTCCAAAAAGCGACGTCTAACCTTTCTAGAATGCCACCCTTCCCTCCCCGCCATGATCGACACTGCCAAAATCGCTGACATTGTTCTCCTCCTCATCGATGGTAACTTCGGGTTCGAAATGGAAACAATGGAGTTTCTGAACATCATGTCCTGCCATGGCATGCCCTCTAACATCTTTGGAATTCTCACTCACCTCGATTTGTTCCGTTCACCGGCAACCCTACAAACTGCGAAAAAGAGATTAAAACATAGATTCTGGAGTGAACTGTACCATGGTGCCAAGTTGTTCTACTTAAGTGGTGTTATAAATGGGCGGTACCCTGATCGAGAGATTTTGAATTTATCGAGATTCATCAGCGTTATGAAAAATCCTCGGCCGATTATTTGGCGAAATACACATCCATATATGCTCGCTGACCGGATGGTAGATCTCACGGACCCTGCGATGATCGAAGAAAATGAAGACTCTAATAGAACGGTGGCGGTCTATGGATACCTTCGAGGCACGAATTTCCCAGCAGTGGATGGGAGAGTACATATTCCCGGTGTGGGGGATTTGCAAGTGGCAAGCGTGGAGGGACTAGCGGATCCGTGTCCAACACCGCAGGCTACCCAGAGGATGGAGGGTAAAGAAGGCTCGAAGAGAAGGAGATTGGGCGACAAGCAAAAGCTAATATTTGCGCCGATGAGTGATGTCGGTGGTGTCTTGGTGGATAAAGATGCAGTTTATATTGATGTGAAGACGAGTAACTTCAATAATGGCGAAGAAGGTGATGGTGAGGAAGCCGGAGAAAGAGACGTGGGAGAGAGATTAGTGGTTGGGTTGCAAGGAAGACAGAATTTGCTTGGTCAGGGGACTGCACAAGACCGCGACGGTGGTGTACGGTTGTTCAGCAATGGGGCTTTGCTCCGCAACGCTGATGAATCTGGTGATGCTGGGCGGAAGATGAAGCGGTCAGGGCGGGCTATGGCCAATGGAAACGAAGATGATGAGGGTTTCGAGAGTGGGGAGGATGATGAAGATGATGAAGAGGAAGACTTTGATGAAGAAGGAGACGATGGTGATAGTGACGAGGATTCCGATACCGAGGACATGTCGGGAGACAATGGTGTTAAGCTGCAAAAGAAATTTGCGTCCCTCAATAACTCCGAAGGTGGAGACGAAGACATTGCGTTTGCAGACAGCGACTCTGATATTGGTTCTGTATCTGATGTATCCGAACAATCTTTCGACGATGATGAGATGCCTTCTGATGAAGACGAGGAGCTTGATTCAGATATGGAGGATGAGGATGGAAATGCTCGGTGGAAACGAAATCTCACAGATAGAGCTGTGGAAATGTTCAAGAATAGTTCAAAGAACAAGAAAAAGAACATCAAGGAGCTTGGGAAGCTATTGTATGATGAAAACGTCAGTTTGTCGAACGTCGCGAAGCTCTGGCGCGGAGAGACAATCGAAGAAGAGGAAGAAGAGGAAGAAGAAGCTGAAGAAGAAGATTTCTTCAAGAAGGCAAAGGATTTGGGCGAAGATGCCTCTGTGGTAGTTGACCGTGGCATGCCAAGTTATGATATCGACGCACTGGAAAAGAAGTGGAAGGAGACAGAAGCTGATATGGAGGATCTGCGAAGAAGGTTTATTACTGCAAATCTTCTCGACGAACAGGAGAGGAGAGAGAACGGAGATGAGGATATGGACGATGACGACTTTTCTGGCTTTGGTTCTGATGAGGGTGATGGTGAATTCGAAGATCTGGAAACAGGAGAAAAATCTGGTCCAACGGATAAACCTGACGAACCCGAGGAAAAACTTACGATTGAACAAGAAAGAGAGAAAAACGCCCGCAAAAAGGAAGAACTAAAGCTCCGTTTTGAAGAAGAAGCAGACGAGGGCCAACTGGGGCAAGAAGACAAGGAGGAATTCGGCGAGGATGAGTGGTACGAGGCCCAAAAGGCCAAACTTACCAAACAACAAGATGTCAACAAGGCAGAACTGGAAGATCTAGATCTAAACACCCGTGTCCGAATCGAGGGCTTCCGTCCCGGAACATATGCTCGAATCGTCCTCTCTGGTGTTCCCTGCGAATTCGTTCAGCATTTCGATCCAAAACAGCCAATCCTTGTCGGTGGTCTTACACCTACGGAAGATCGATTTGGATTTTTGCAAGTCCGAATCAAAAGACATAGATGGCACAAACGGATTTTGAAAACGAATGATCCGCTGATATTTAGTCTTGGTTGGCGACGATTTCAGAGTATTCCTATCTACTCTTTGAGCGATTCTCGAACGAGGAATAGGATGCTTAAATACACTCCTGAACATATGCACTGCACGGGAACATTCTACGGGCCATTAATCGCTCCAAACACCGGCTTCTGCTGTGTAAACAGTGTTTCAAACGAAAACCCCGGTTTCAGAATCTCCGCTACCGGTGTGGTATTGAACGTCGATGAGGGTACAGAGATCGTCAAGAAACTTAAGTTGACGGGGTACCCCCAAAAGATCTTTAAGAACACTGCATTCATCAAGGACATGTTTACATCGTCCCTTGAAGTTGCAAAGTTCGAAGGAGCGGGTATACGCACTGTTTCTGGCGTTAGGGGACAGATTAAACGGGCCTTAAGTAAACCGGATGGACACTTCAGAGCTACGTTTGAGGACAAGATCTTGATGAGTGATATTGTGTTTTTAAGAGCATGGTATCCGGTTAAGCCCAAGAAGTTTTATAACCCGATGACAAACTTGCTGGGAGAGGGAGGATGGAAGGCTATGAGGTTGACGGGACAGGTTAGAGCGGAGGAGGGAGTAGCAACGCCATTATTGAAGGATTCTAAGTACAAGGTATGTTTTGTGAACCTGTTATCTGAGTTTTTCTTCCACCCTCCTCCGTTTAAAAGCTTTGCTAACCGGCAACTTGTAGAAAATCGAACGGCAAACAAGACACTTCAATCCTCTGCGGGTACCGAAGGCAGTTCAAGCAGAACTCCCATTTAAATCCCAAATCCATGCTATGAAACCGCAGAAGAAGGAGACGTATATGCAAAAACGGGCTGTGGTTTTGGGCGGAGAAGAGAAGAAGGCAAGAGATCTGTTGCAGAAGCTGCAGACTATGAGGAACGAAAAGGTAGAGAAGAGACGGGAGAAGAAGGAGGAGAAGAGGAAGGTTTACAGAGCGAAGGTGGCTGAGAATATGGAGATGAAGGAAGCTAGAGAGAAGAGGGAAGGAAAGGAGTTTTGGAAGAAAGAGGGGAGGAAGAGGAAGGGGGACGATGAGGGAGGACAGGTCAGTAAGAGTAAGAGGCGAAGGCAGAAGGGAGATGATGAGTGATGTACGATACAAGCGTGTACGGCTGTATAAGTAATAACCAGTATTTAGACGAGACACCTTGGGAGCAAAGTTGATTGTCTCTGTATTTATATTCTTCATTTATCTTAAATCTACCATTTACAGTTTCCGTAGAAGGCATTATCGTGCGCCAAGTTGCCTCGAGACTATCCCAAATCTGTGCCTCCCAGCTGTGATGATTGTTGGATTTTGTCTCGGAATGTGTTGAGATGTGGCGTAGCTCACAGGAAAGGAAACCGGCTCAAACAAGGCCCGCCATTATCTCATCTAATCCTCCATCCCTCCTGCAGCTAGGCCACTCTCTCAAATTACAAGCCTTCCTTCATCGCCAGTCAAACCCACGGTCGCTTTATAACACCCCTTTCCCCTGACTTTGCCTATCGCCTCTACTCTCATCTCAAAGCTCTCCCATGCCTTCGACATTCTTACAACTCCGCCTATTGACCTAGAATTAGAATTCCGGAAGCTCGGGTGGTGGTAAAGCCACTACACGATGAACCACCATTCACCCCGACCCCCCTCGTCCACCACCGCCACCACCTCTCCCGCCCGTCCTAAACCCGGCGGTCGCGTCCTAGGGCGACCGATTCCAAATCGCACAGTTCTTTCACCGGCTCTCGCTCACCGACCCGGCTTAGCTGTTTCTCCTTCCGAGAGTTCCGCTTCATACGCTTCGCAAAGCTCCTTTGGTATTATTTCTGGAGTCGGGGGTCACGGCAGTGGGCACCGGCGGCAGGATAGTGCGACTGCGAGTGGGTATTCTACACCTGTTGGAAATGGTACGGGAAATGGACTTGCTGTTGGAGGTGGTGGGATTGGACGATATGGTGGGGAGACGGAGAGTCCGGGGAGGATGATATGTCCTATCTGTGAGACGGATATGGTATGCAGTTCCTAGCCTAATGGGAATCGAATATTGTTTGTGGTATCCGAGAGATTGGTTACTGATATATTTACTCTGTCTGGTTGCAACTTGACGGGATTAAAAGGTCACCCTCCTCCAACTCAACCGCCACTTAGACGAAGAACACAAGGAAGTCGAGGAAGTCGAGAAGGACGATATATCATCATGGTTCCAGAAGAACCTACTAAAAGCAAAACAATTCCAGCCTGTAGCACTGATCAATCAGAAGCTAAAGGGCCTTGATGTTTTCGAATCGAATGATAACTTCCACCCGACGATACAATCACCGACCCCGGCACCTAGTATTGCCTCGACTGCGTCTATTACAAGTATCGCCACAATTACTCCTCCTGTTGTAAAGCAGGAAAGAGACCCGGAAGAATTCGTAACGAGGCAAAATTGGCAGAAAGCAGGACATAGGGATCTATGCACAGAGCCTGCTTGTGGGAAGTTGCTGGGTAATAGCAATGGCATCGTGAACTGTCGGTATAATCAACCCTCTCCCGTCCAAACTTTCGAAATTTCTGGACTTTTATGTCAATTTGTATCGTGAACTTGAGAGCTGAGCTTCCGTTTTACACAAAGGTAGAAAGTGCGGCAAGCTCTTTTGTGAAGAGCACACGATGTATCAAATAAAACTTTCGCGGGCGGCGCTCCATGAACCGGTTAGAGGTGCTTGGTGTAGGGTGTGCGAGAGCTGTTATGTGTCGAGAGATGGCTATCTTGATCATAAAGGTATGTATATTGTTTCTCTGGATATACCACAAGCATACTAAATAAAGATACTGCAGGCTTTGTCAGAGATCATACCTCAGATTTCAAATCCCTTCGCCAAAAAAATGTCGACAAACAACATCTCGAGACTTCTCGCTTAGATAAACGGTTGACGAAGCTTACACAAGTTCTCACGGACCCTACCGCAGCAGAAATGCTCAATGTTCAACAACAGAGCGCTGCTTCCAAGCTTTGGCCCGTCAATCTTAATGGTCTACGAAACCAGCGAAAACTGCTGGAGCAAACTATAGTAAATTGGGAGGACGATGCCAAGGTTCCGAATTGTCCGTTCTGTAAACAGACTTTCACAAACTTTTCACTCCGAAAGCACCATTGTAGGTTGTGTGGGAAAGTAGTTTGTGGCGATACTAGAACCGGGTGTTCAAGCGAGGTGGGGTTGAATGTTAATGTCAATGTGGGGGGAGGAAAGACATTAACAGAGAAGATGGGTGAGGTCGCATTAGATGTTAGGATATGTAGAGAGTGTAACGGTGTGCTGTTTAGCAAAAGGGATTTCATGGACGAAGTTGCCCGGAAGCCGCCGGATCAGAAGAGCTACGAGGTTTGTGGATGGCGTTTAAACCTAGACTTGATTACTTGACACTGACATCATGATATAGACAATGGTCGAATTCGAGAAGGGAATTATTACCATGCTCCCCCGGTTCCAAAAATTACTGGCAACCTTACAGTACGTAACTCATATGGGTGGATTGAACACTCATCTTCTATATTCTAATACTGAAAACCCTGCCTCTGGTGATAGGGACTCAAGCAGACCCCCGACTCCGCAACAACGTTCCGAGGCCTCGAAAACTCGCAAGCGCCTCCTCGACGCTTTCACACAATATGACACTGCTGCGAAGCGTATAGTGAATCTCCCAACAGACTCCCCGACCCAGAAACAGCTTCAACGATCTATATACTTGTATTCCGTCGAGTTTTTACAAACTCACATGTTTCCGCTGAAAGCTTTGCCGAAAATACTGAAACAAACCAAATCCAGCAAGCTTGGTAATGGGCATCACAGAGGCCTAGGGTCGCCTGCAAGCATTATAGATGATGCCAGTAGTGTTGTGAGCAGTAATCCGGAGGTCGATGCCGAGGAGAAGTTGCTAAAAGAGCAGCTAGCGGTTCTGGAAGAGCAGAAGTTCTTAGTTGGGGAGATGATTGCGAGTGCGAAGGCGAGTAGGAGGTTCGAGGAGATTGGGGCATTGGCGCAAAGCCTTGGAGAACTTGAAAAGGAGGTTGAGAAGGTGGAAGGCCAGATTAAAGATTTTGAGAAACGGAACCCGGTGTGGTAGGGCGGCTTGCCGGGGGACGATTTCTAGCTATAGATCTGGAGAGCTTGGAAGAGAGTTTTGACATTTGTTTCTCTTTTTTCGGGAGTTGGAATTGGACGTCCGGGGGGGTAATAATTTTATATGAAGGTTCCAAGGTTGCACTGTCTGTTAATGTGCACACGGCGTTCTTTTCACCTCTCTCGTGGACCTCGCATAAGTTTCATTCATTCACCTTTTTTTCTTTTTTTACCATCGTAGAGACCGTGCGGGGTAGACCTTGCTTTCTGTTCACATAGCTTTTGGCGTTTTGAAGATCTAAATAATCATGGCTAGCTAGATAACTGTAATTACATTTCAATGCGATGGGAAATGTTCAAAGTTTGTGGTAGCAGTTCTTGACTCGCTAAAGGATAGGGAAAATAATATACACCATGTATACAGGCCTGCTAACCTTCCTGGACACTACTTCTATAGTGTTCGGAGATGTGGGCTTGCAGTGTAAGGGAGTTATCATCATCTTACGCCTCGTTCAGTTCTCGGCTGTTTATGTCGTCCTTGCCGATAAGGTCAGCTGAGCATATATCCCTTGGCTCCGTTTGGAATCTCAGTATTGAATTTTTCTCTCGACCAGCTTAGTTATGTGGCTCAGTCAAGTATTGGAGCATACAGACGAGGCCTGCCGACGGGACAATGAAACCGTAGTATCAATGTTTCCAACTAATAGTTCGACTCTAGCTTCATCTCACCCTTTGACCATTCTCTCGACCTTATCCAACAGTCCTTTACTCTGTCTCCCCAGCTTCATCTGTCCCGTGCCAGTTTTCGCCCCCCTGCCTGCACCCATAGCCTTATTCCTGGCCTTCCTATCCATTTCCCTTCTTTCGATAGCCGCGGCCTTTGCCTTTTCAATTCTTTCCCTTTCAGCTTTCACTTCTCTAACTTTTTTGGAGATTGAGATTTCATTTTTGTAACGGGATTGTCGGGGACGGCGGGTATGTTGTTTTCGTGAAGGGTGTGTATGTGGATCTTCTTCTTCGTCATCATTGGTGGGTGCCGGTTTATCCTCATCCGATGATTCCACATTTTCGACGTTTGGAACATCATGTTCAATGATTTCACTTCCATTATCATTATCATCATCGTCGTCGTTGTCGTCGCTCTCTCCACCATCGTCCTGCATAGCTCTTTCCATCCTCCTTCTAGCTCTCACCGCAGCTTCATCCTCATCATCATCATCGTTATCATCATCATTTCCACCATTCCCACGTTTACGTCCCCCAGTATTCGTAGAAACAATCCCTCCCTCCCGTTTAATCTTCTCCAACCCTTTCCATAACTTCGCCCGGTGGATTAAACCCTTTTTTATCTTTTGTGCTTTTCTTCGAAATGTTCCGTCTGGGAGGTTTGCGGGACCGACTGTGAACCCGCCGGGCTTTTGACGATGATGCGGGTTTGTTGTTGATGATGATGATGATGATGATGATGCATGTCGTGGTTTTTTTGGTTGTCGGGGGTTATGATGATTATTGTTATGGCTTTCGCCGGAGGAGACGTGCGGGGCGGGACGTTTTGGCATTTTATATTATATTATATTATATTTTTTTTTGGTGGTACGGAGTGGTGGTGGTGGTGGTAGCGACAGGAGATCGCGAAAGAAAAAGTCGCAAATCTTTTGCGACAACTGAAAATCAAAAAAAAGACCCGGTCTTGTTTTACCGAAAGAACGAAGAAGAGGCAGGAATAGCCGAACGCTACTTTCAAGTTACACAAAGTAAAATAACAACACTTCCAACACACATTCGATCGATTTCTCAAAAAAACTACACATATTGTTCTCCACCTTTTCATTTTCTCTCCTCCCTTCTATTACATATATATTATACCATTTATAGTATGTGTACATCTACTATGTATTACATTTTTTATCTACTACATACAGGATAACCAACTACTTTCGGCAAAACTTACACGGAAATAAAGGAAATAGCCAATAGTGCAGACTAACATACATGAAGCTCTCCTCATACTCAAAAAAAATAAGAAAGAAAGAAAGAAAGAAAGAAGGAAAGAAAAGAAACTGGGGAGATGGAGGAGGTTGGGATCGGCCATTAAGCAACAAATACGCTGTCATCACAGCGTCTAACAAGTAAAATACAGCACATGAGTACATATTCCAATGAAAAGCTGGGGAGGGGGAATACTTAGCCCAAAAAAACATTACAAATAATGATACATGTATACAGGGTTGCCTCGTAAACATCAAAAACGTACTGAAGCTTTTATTCTTCAAAATAACATCCGTAAACCTTAAAAGTCCTTTCATAATGGGGTATCAAAAACAAAGAATGGGAGTCCCAAAACGCCACAAAGAGTGGAAAGAAAAGAAGCTTAAAACAAAAGAAAGGGTATGAAGTCCAACCTCTAGATACGCATATCAATAAAAAGGATGAAAACGAGGAAGAAGAAATACTCTTCCAAACTGTAGGTACCATCTAAATACCCATCTGCCCTGTACAATTACTCGGCTCGTGGGTAAGTTCGCAATATAAAACCCAAACCTAGCTTCCATGACCCTTCGCAAAAATATCCAAAACTTCGCTGTCTGCTCATACTAAGACTCGGCATTGATGACTTCGAAGACCAATATCTTCATCTTTATCCGTACTTTTCTAGTCACTCCGTCATACTATGCCGCGACCTCCCTTGTCTCCGCTTCCTCTATCATCTCTTTCTCCCGCTGCCGAACAGCCATTGCAATAGTTGCTTCAGTATTCAAATAATTTCCCGTAAGTCCCTTCCCAACTTTGAATATCCTCAACACTTCTCCATCTCTCTTTTTCAAAATCCTAAACCGCTCGGCGCCAGGAGAGAAAGCAAACCATAATCCTTCAATCGTTCGAACAAACCAGTCGCCCATAAATGAAATAGCCTTATTCTGATGAAATTTATAGTCAAAATATCTTCTGAAGAGATCGAGAATTTCATCTAGCTCTTTGATTTCTTCGATGGAGACGACCTGGATTTGGCACTGCGGATAATTCCGTGAGATTTCTTCTAGTCGACTAAAAAGCAATCGACATGTGTTCCCTGACAGGTATCGAGGAGGACTACCATAAGAGTGATGGATGAGTACTTGGGCCGGACTTGCACGGTGATATTTATTTGAAATTTCTTTAGAGCCTTGCACCTTTGGTTTCACCGGAGGCGTATGTTTTGGTGGTGCCTTTTTTCGGGTAGGTTGAATGGGGTTTCCTTCCGCGTCCAGTGGTAGTGGGTGAGTTCTAGGCCTTCCTCGTGAGCGTTTGGCCAGTGGCTCCCCGTCTGAGCTGGCCAGTATGCTCTGGAAGCTGTCTGATCGCTTCCTTTTCTGCGCGTCGTCTTCGAAAGCTTTAGCGTCATACGTAATGCTGTTTTGTTGAGTATGACAGCTTAAGGGTTCGTTGGGCGCCGAGACTGGCCCGTAGATTGATGTACACGGAACTTGGTCCTGCGAGGGTAAGGCATCAAGAAACCCCATTTGTTCGATCCCTAGCTGATTCGCATAAATCAACCCAGGTGCATTATATGCAATATTCCTTTCGCATTCTGTTTGAAACGCGGGAGATATATATATTCCGGTAGCTTCGTCCTGGGACAACTGGTACTGATTCGAGGTTGGGATTTCTGTCCCCGACTTAAATGGGGATACACTGCCCGGATTGTGATCGGAATCCGACTCCAGAACACCCTTAGTGAGAGAAGGAGTCATCATCCGATCTACATCCTGGGGGCTGGAAGTTTTTGGTAAGGAATCTTCCCATTCTACGAGATTTGCGCTAGAAGACGGAAGTGAATATTCAAGAGGGTCCCAATTGACTTCTTGGGGTGGTAAAAGTTGAAAAGAAGGATCGTTGGCTTCGAAAGGTTCGAGTTCGAGGTTGCTGAAGTCGACGTCGAGGAAGGGGTCGGGCAAAGCGCCAATTCCGGACTCATATAAGCCATCGCCTCCACTATCGGGAACTCTATTGAGGATTCCTATATAGTCGTCAAAGTCCGGGTTTTCGCTGTTGTTGCATGTGGGGATCTGCCACGCGTCGATCATGGGTTGATTGATCTCTTCTTCGAAATTCATCATTTTGATAAATGATTTTAGGCTTTAGGTATATTGTAAGGATCGTCTTGCCCAAGAGGATGATCAAGAAAATATTTTAAAGGCCCTGTGCTAATATTATCGAGTCTCTCGAGTCTCTCGTGTAAAATGTTAAGTCTGAAGCTAAGGTGAGCCGACCAAAGTGTCGGAAATAGAAAGCTGTAACTTGAGGCCCGCCTCACAGAATGGGTGTATTCCTGATATTGGCTGGTTCGAGGAATCAAAATTAAAAAGATTGATAGAGCAAACTGACAAGGGCTATCGCGATCTCGTATATCTCTGATACTGGTTTCGAATATCGAGGTTGTATTAGGAAAGAACGAAAAGAATTTGCCAAGCTAAGAAGCAATAGCTGTGAACAATTTAATGCGAGTTTAAACTCGAGATCTAAAGGATTGCTTTTGGAATATGGAACGGTATACCGAATTGATTGAGCAAGTCGTAGTCGAAACTATTAGGTGTGACGGAGGACGAGGGGAAAGGGGCGGGAGCGAATGGGTTCCGTAGTAGTTTAAATCCTTGAGTATTTTATAATACTAATGATTGACAGCACATGGCTTCACCAATTCAGTTGACTCGGCCAGCCAGCACAAACACTTAAAACGTTAATGTACCGATATAGATCAGTCCAAATTAGCGATCACACGTTCTTTCCTAGACGATGACGCCTATCCTATAATTCACGTGCATCCTCGACACCCGAATATCACTTCTTCCATATTTAGTCGTAGACGTATAGATGATCGATAATTTATATACCCATTTTCACCAATAGACTAGCATACAATATCGCTAGCTGGCTACATTCGTTTAATGTATCTATCAGGTGCACGTGCTTTAATTAATGTTAGCTTACCGGGATACTCAGGTCGTTACACGAATCCCCGAACCAGAGGGGTTGGAGGTGTACGTGCGCATGCAGCAGCGCAGCTCGAACCCCCAAACCTCCGATATGTAAAGCTCGAGAGGATAAAATGACACTGAATACGGCATTACTTATACAAACCAATTAATCCTGACGATCTACATAGTAGATTCCAATCTATACGCTCGTTGCACAATTGCATCCTTACATACCACATCCGGAATGTACGGTCCCCAAGCTCTTCAACAATCGGATGTCTTCCTCCTTCAACTCGCTAACCCCCGTGTTCAAATCTTTCTGTCCTTGCTCTAGGGCCTCTACTCGAGATTTGACATCCAAAGCACACCTACAACTCCCACTGGTGCAAGTGCATTTCGAGGGAGCCCAGCTTCCCCCGGTATGACTGGGACCTTGGGGTGCCCAGAGCGAGATGATACCATGATTCTGGTCTGAATTATCGCCGTATATCCAGACACCTTGACCATAACCGTTGAAACGTATTTTCATAGCTGTAGATTAAACAATAAATAATAATAGAATTCGATATGATCAGCAATTGCACGTTTTGCTACATTAATATTCGTGCTACGTGAGATCCAAACATATCGAAATACCACACATGGTACTGCTATTTTGCGTTGCATGGAATTAAGTGTTGAGCTTAATTGAGGTGCAATCCATAGGCGAGAAAGTGGTCCCGCGGCGAAAACAAAGAGAACTCGAATCTAAAGGATTGAGGAAGTCAAGGCCAAAACTTACTATTTGGAAACGGCATCGTTTCGTCCCATTCTGGCGTAAGATATGTGTAACTCTCAGGTGCCGTATCAAAGCTTTCACCGCTCTTTTCCTTCTGTGCCCTCTCTTTGAGTTTTCCCATTGTTGCCTTGAAAACTTTCGGGGCCATTCGATTTGCGAGGTGTCCATAAGATGGATTATTGTTTACCGATTTCAATCTTCCCTGAGAGTCGTGGCCTTGGCGAAGATACTTCATTCGACCAAGTGTTTTGAACATGGCGGCGAGGCCAATGATGGGGATGTGTTTCGCAGACAGAGATAGGATGTCCTCACTGAATCCGCCAGTATAGGATAGATAACTCGTAACTGGGTTATGGGTGTGGAGCTTTTCAACACAGAAGGGGTCATCACAGAATGAATGTCGGTTGGCTTCAGCGGTGTGCTATATGGCAACGACATCTGTGAGTTTGTCCTGTATTTTCTAGCGGCCCCTGGAGCATACTCACAATATCAATCAGAACAGTATCCCCAGTATGGAATTCAAAATCGCTGCCTTCGACCGTAAATGGTGTTTCGGAAAGAACTCGTCTTTCTATGGGGAGTTTGACTTTGAGTCGTTGGGCTTCGAGAACAGCGTGCATGATTTCGTGGTCCTTATCGTGTTCCGCAGTGTCAGGATCAAAAGCAATCTTTTGGATCTCTTCCCATGAAATCAGTCCGTCCCTGTGTCTGATTTTTCGCTTTTCCTGCTTGGTAAGACATTGGAAATGATTCTTGTGTTTATCTGGCATATGAGTACGAGTTTTGTGATCGTTTTCGACTTTGGCGTGTAAATCATTTTGATACTTGCGTTCTTCATCGGCCATGAAGCGCCAATCAAAAGTACGATTGCTTTGGTCAAAGAAGAAGGCAAGAGATGTAGTAAACTGGCGTTTCAAGAATTAGCATTCGTATACTAAGGGTCATGCGCCCCACATTGGAAGACTTACTGTCAGAATGGCGTTATAAATACTATCTAGTCCTATAAGCAACATTATTGCCGCAGCCTCATCGGCGTTTTTCGCGATGTCTTTATTCTTCAGGAGTTTCTGTGCGACTTTATAGCCAAGTTCCTTCATATAGGCTTCGGGGCGTAGGTCTTCGGATCTCCAAAGAGGCCACCACGCGGATGCTGCTTTAACGTGTCCGTTTCTCGTGAGGCCCACAAGGAACTCAGCGGATTTTTTAAATGCCTCGCGTCGCTTCCACTTTTTGGTTTCGTCCACATTGTAAGAGAGGTAGTTTTGGACGTTTACAATATGATGATAAATTTCGTTAGTACTGTATAGTTTTCCGCCCTCCCCGATGATGAGATCGCTGAAGCCTAAGAAGTCGGCGAAGTAATGTGTGATAACCGGTATCGCAAAGCTATGTTATTTTTTAGTTTGTCGGACTTTGAATCGAGAAAATTCTGAACAGGAGGGGGGGCACATACTCTCTTACGGCGTCAATTTGATACACAGGGTCCTTCTTTCCAACGCCCTTTTCAAACAGCTGTCTTCTCGCATTAATAACTTTAATGGACATTTTTTCGAAATAATCAGTGATTTGGTCTCTTTCTTTCCCCATGACATCAATGTTCAAGTCCGTACTAGCCCTATCCTTCCGCTCGATATTCTTTTTCAGAATGTCCCTTATTACCTTTGGAACAGCATAAGTATCCATCCATGCTGGGTTGACGAATCGATCGTCCTTGTCATGAATAATTTCTTCGGCGGCCTCACGAGATTTAACAACGACTGTGATGTTTTTAGGCATATTTTGACGCTTAAGTGTGCGAGTCAATTTGAAGACGGAGTTCGGCTTAGAGGGTGTAGATTGTTGAAGCACAGTAGGGAGATTCTCATCGACTTCTTTTGCCTTGGCGGGGTTGAACTCTGGGAGGTTAAATGCGTCACCATATCCTTGCTCTTTTGCATACTTCATATTCGCGGTGGTAGTATAGAAAGGATGGAAGAAGCGTACACTGTTGGCTTCGTACCAGTCAGGGAATGCACGTTGTATTAGTCGATGGAACACGGAGCTTTTGAATGTATTGTTATCCGCAGTTACTTCGTTCATTCCCCAAGTGGTGAGAGAGTTGGTATTCCAATCCACCGTATAGAATCTATCTGAGCGAACAAGTGTAACAGCATCGGAAAATATTGCGCTCCATAAAGTGGAATCGCTAATCTGAGGGCCTGGGTCACAATCCCGAGCATTTTCTGCGTCTCGGCCCTCGCAGAAAATACCAGGATAGAACTCGACTTTGTCGACGTCTTCGTAGAGATCTCGTAGTGCCTGTTGGATTTCCGAGTCCTTGCTAAGCGATTGGAATGTTTCGTGTCGCTTCATACCGAAGAACTCGCGAAAATCGTTGAGCGTTCCGATTTCCCATTTTCTAGCTTGAAGTATACCTGCAACTTCGATCGCTTTTAAGGCTCGAGGGACGTTGCGAGGGCCGAACTGGGAGATCGGTTCTTCCATTTTTGTTTCGAGGATATTGATTAATTTCTCATCGTTGAACTGATTCGTTATAGGATCTCTGGTGAGTTCAGTGACATCTAGGTCAAAAAAGACTTGATTTTCTGGCCTGAGGCTTTCCGGATTTGCTGCTGCGAATTTCCTAGCATCTTTTGCAAGTAGAGGGTTTACCCTGTTAAATTGATCGCTAGTAAGAGTCCTTGGGTCCCATTTATCGACATCTTCAAGGTCTTTAATGATGTTTCCTTCGGAGTCTTTGGCTTCGCTAAGAGCAATGAGTTTTTTGCCGTGTGTTTTACGAATCAAATTATTCATCCAAACTTCGTCATCCTGTCCGATCGCACAATGAAAGCGATATAAAAGGTTGAACTCCACCGAGACTTGGTTTCCAATCCCTCGCGGTAGGCCTTCTTTCCCAGCTTTTTTATCGACTTCGAGGCGGGGATCGAGGGTGAATGTGGTATTCCATTGGTGGAATCCCATCAAAGCGCGAAGGTAGTCATGGATTGAGATGTTTATATAAAGTCCGCACGTAATACTAGATCATGTATCCGATTTTGTTAGTTAGTCGGGTATATATAGGAAAAGCAGATGTATGTGTGCTGTGATATGCTGTACTCACAGTCTTGCAGTCCCGAAGAGATCGTCGTCGAGCTTCTTCCAAGCAGCATCGTGCTGCGCAATAAACTTGTTCACTAGAGCATCGTAAAACCTGACGTTTACATTCTCCGGGTCTTCTTGGGTTCCTTTCCACTCTTGAAATCTCTCGACCTCTTCTTGATTTCCCTGGATCATAGCCAAGTATTCATCATGTTCCTCCTTCTTCAACAACACCATACGCGCCTTTCGGGCAGCGAATAGTTCGTCCTTGAATTCGGGAGTATCCTGCAGTTGGTTCTGTGCGAACGTGTTATTTTGAATGTAACGAAGGGCAAAATCTTTTATTTCCCAGTAATATTCCTGATACCGTTCGAGGGCATGCGCTTGATCCTCGCCGCTATACTTTTCGGGAATCGAGAAACGACCGTTTTCGTTGATTCGTAAGAGCTGGCGGGCGACATAGTTATGGTATCGATTATACATCACCAAATAAGCTACGGTTTTATTAGTTCTAGATGTCTAGTAGGAACCAAGGAGTATTTTTGAACTGTTGGCTCTTACTGCATACTCCAGGTGGCTGCCGCAGAAGCCTATTTTCTGCAAATGTATCTGGGTGAAGCAATCCGAGTTTTCCAGTGCGGACTTTCGCATTTGTCTCATCATCGTATCCATAAAGAGGAGATAGATCAAGGTAGGAAGATGTATCTGAGATGTTTTTATCTTTCTCATTTGTCCGAAATATATCTAGAAATTCATCGATCGGTCAACCACTTCTGGCCAATTTTACAGACCGTACCGAAGCTAGGGCGAAGATGAGGTTTACCATGAATAATGATTGTAGCGTGGTATATCAGCATCACAGACAAACCGGAGCCGCTTGTTCTAGGGCCATCAAGTTCGCGGGCCATGAGACCTTGTAACAGTTAACATTGTACCAGCAGATCACCACAACTTTCGAGCAATGCTTTACGGATCGGGTCGACTAGTACTCACGGTCAAAAATATCACCAGGATCAGGTTGTGCACCTAAAAGCCTTGCCTTAGCTGGCACAGTTTTTGCATATGGTGTACCTGCTTGTCCCAGGTGTGGGTGCAAGACGCTCTTTTGGTACGGTGAACATGCATTAACTCGAATTAGCCCTGGTGGAAGCCGGAGGAACTCTTGACGATGTACACATTCATTCTCGAGAATGGATACTTACGTTAAAGCTTCCATCAATGGTACGATGCTGAAATGCATCTCCAAGATAACTTAGAGGGGGGTGAAGCATGGCACTCCATTTTGCTTCGACTTGCCCTCTCTTCACGAGCAATCCCCCACCCTGTAAGAAGGCTGCTCTGACGGGGCCATACGCATCAAGAGATGCAACTATGCTAGCTAGATCTTTTAACTGTACAGTTAACAAGAAAAATCGTAAGCCTCGCTGCACTGGTAACTATTGCTGTGCGGCCGCGCGCGTCATGCACAATGGAGGTGATAAGGGCAATCCAGCGTACCCCAACTCCCCTTCCGAGAGTAATTACACCCTTCCCGATCAGAAACCAAGTTTTAGGATTCGAAAATATTGTCACAAGATCTTTTAGCAAGGTCCCTTTCGGCGGGCGCTCCTCGAGAAGCAAGGGATCTCCATGGATGTCTTTGAAATATCCTACGCGGCTTACAGATCGATCTTGAAGAGTATCGTTCAAAATTTCGAGGTCGAAGATCACGCGCCTAGATCGTCGGTCATTGTGGTTTGTGATGTCAATACCCGCTCTAGGGTCAGGAATATGAGACATAGTTAATTCCGATGGAGTATACGTGTACTAGATATCCAGAAATAGTTTTGAGAAAGAAGCCTTGAGGGTGCATTCACGCACGGGTTAGGGAAAAATCAATTGTGATCGGATTTGAAATGAATTGTATTACGTTGGTGAATTTTCGGGTTCTCAGCTAGCAGCTGAAATCGACGCGGGCGAGGATACCCCGCCCTATTGTGCATAAGCGCTTTGCTTTGTGGCTCAATAGCAAACATGATAGTTTCTATCCCGAGTGCGACAGGCCCAGGTATTCATTTGGCCATGGGCTCTTTTTTTTCTTTTCCTTTTGCTATTTCTTTCATTCCTTTCTTTCTTTCTTTCTTTCTTTCTTTCTTTCTTTCTTTCTTTCTTTCTTTCTTTCTTTCTTTCTTTCTTTCTTTCTTTATTACTGGTTTTTTTTTTAAAAAAAAATAATAAGAATAATAATTTGTATTTGGATTCAAGGCTGGCAATATTAATCAATTGCAAGAGCATCAATATCGATATTGATATCAAGAGCCGTCGTTATCGTCAAAATTCAGTCTTTCGTTTCCTTCTTCACCAACCCTACTTGCTGATTTAACAATAATTTGACTGGTTTAATTGGCGAATTACTGCTAGCCTCTAACTACCAATTGCAATTGCAACCCACGCTTAAAATCACGCATCCCAAATCACGCACGTGACAAGTAAGAGTTTACCAGCTAGTTCGTATGATCATGATCATGCCCGGGTTGGCTGACTAGCTAACAAATGCAAGCACCGCACCGCACCGCCTCCGTGGTACCATGGTACCTTTCGGCCTTCTATACATATAGCATACACTAATGTAACCAATGTCATAGTTTTTTTTTTTTTTTGTACAGCCATAGCTGATACTGTCGACTTCGACAGCTGCCGCATTGACTTCGAGACCTCGAGAATAGTCATGACAAGCCTAGAAGCGGGT